CGATCGAAAGGTTTCTACCAAACCTTCGCAAAAGAAGAAAAAGTTCTCACGACATTAAGTTAAGTCGTGGATTTTCGTTGCATCTATAGAGCGTTTCCCTCATAAACCATACATCAACGTGGATTTCCCGAAGAACGTAACCGCGGTGGTGAACAGCACGGTGACATTCAAGTGTCCGATCGTGTCCGATCTTGAACCGTATATACAATGGCTGAAAGTAGTCGAATATCCTGGTGACCAAGAGAAATCACCGACTGGGATTCGTCTTCAGGTACACATACACCGGATTGTTTAGATGGTGGAGGTTCCCCTGTATCTTCTCGATGGATTTTTAATGAAATTGCTAATCAAAAATTATTGTATTTGTGTATACAACGTCGTGTGTATAATAATGTACAAAGTTTTTAATTTTTAAATAAAATAAGACAGACTCTACGGAATTCTGGTGGATAGGCGTATTGTTTGCGACGATTTTTTAAACGATGAATCTCACAGTGACTAACGATGGGTGAAGGAAACTCGTGTCTATTTGCTATTTCAGGTGCTGCTGCGCGGATTGTTCCATTCCGTTTTCGATGTTATTTCTTTCTTTTTTTTTTTTTTTCAACGTTGTATTACGTTCCTGTATTGTAGCTTCTCTCTTCTTTTGAATTTTCCTGTTCTCTGATACATGAGAAACGAAGCCTCTTCGAGATCAGATTTAAAAATGTATAGAAAAATAGATTTCAAAGTTTATCTTATGGAAATCTAGTGTAAAATTTTTTCGAGTGAATTCTACTTTCTTAACGTTGAAGTTGTGAAAGAAAATTCTTTTTTGTTCGCATTTCTTCGTTTATTTAAATCAGACTTCGTGATTCTAGAAAATTCTTTCATTTGATAATCAGAAATAAACTCTAAATCTTCAAGTTCAATATTCAAGTATAAAATATCGAACATCTAACGATTAACATTATTTTCCGTGCACAAAATTTCTCTTCCCCTCTAATCCTTTTTTCTAAATCAAAGATAAATTCGACAAAAATTTCAATTCTTAAAGTATTGAAACACAAATATAAATTCTTAAGGTATAAAATATTGGAAATATAACGAGTTCGTAATAACATTCATTTTTTTTTTGTTGTTGTTTAATTCTTATAAAAGTCAAAGGCAAATTCCAAAACTTCAATTCTCGAAAGTACGAAACGTGGAATTCTTGAAAGTATTAAACAACCACTAGATCTGTGGTTCGCACTGGCCTTAAGTTTGATCTCAAAGGACTTCCAGTTCGTTTTCTATCCTCTGATACACTTGGAGCTTCGTAAAAACGGTGGTTGGGTCTATTTTTCCTGTAGAGAGCGTGAAACATCGGCCGATACTGACCAGGCCTCCGAGAAACACGACGGTTCTGGTAGGAAGCAACGTTACTATGACCTGCGAAGTTCTATCGGCCGCGCATCGACATCTCGAATGGTATCACGGTTATCACACGTCTTTCGACACTGTCAACAAAACCAATCAAAGTTTCCGGGTGGAGGTCAAGGTGGGCATGTAGAACTATTTCAAACTGCATGAAACTACACGCTTCTGCTTCTTCCATCGTTGAAGATAAATCGACGAGCGAAAAAAAGAAAAGAGTTATCAACAGACTGCGGATCTTCGTGCAATTTTATATTTTTATATAGACACGACTGAAGTCAATGTAGCCTGAACAGTAATTTAATTCCCCTGTTGAGTGTTATAAACAAGTCGCTTGCTTTCTATATATATATCACATATATTTTGCATACTGCGTCCAATTTTGCATTCTTAAATCCTTAAAATTCATGAATGCACGAAGATCCGCAATCTGATTATTAATAAAATGTAAATGTAAATCGCTAAAGCTGTATATAGATACTTTTAATATCTCTCCGTTTGTAATCCTACTAATATTTCCCCAATTTTAACTTTCTTGTCCAAGGTTCTTCGATTTTGCATTGGTGAGTTTGATTCGTCGCTACTGCATCGTGAATTTAATTACATATATGAATTTAGCTTGCTATTTTTAAAAAGTGTAATCCCTTGAATGTATCGAGATTGATATCATGATCTTTTTGCAATTATGAAAAATGAGTAATTCTTTGAGAATTTTTAAAAATATTTTCTCAGATATTTATTCGAGGATATGAATAAATTAATAGAGCGTAATCTTCAGCGAAATTTATATTTATATTGCACGGGAATATAGTAAATATAGCAAATGTATTCTGATTCCTTCATAATTTACAATTATATAGTAGAATGTTATTTTCATCAGAAAAATTCCATTTATAAAATTTCAAAGATAGTCAGATAGTCAAAATGTGAATTGCGCATTTTTCATTTAGCCTTAAAAGATCATAGTTCATAATTCTTTAAATATCTTCTAAACTACATACATCAGTTAATTAAATCAAAGTTACGCATCAGCATTTTACCAATGTGAGATAAAATCGAAGATCTTGAAAATAACCACCGAGTTATACATATACTTCTTAATAGAAATAACATTTCGAAAATTTAATATTTTCAACAGGCGGAAGGCGCCGAAAATCCGGAAGTACTGAAACTGTACAACGTGACAGAAAAGGATGAAGGTTGGTACAGCTGTATCGCTCAAAATGCATTGGGCGAAACGTTTAGCAGTGCCTATCTTCGAGTAGTAGAATGTAAGTATCCAAAATTGTTTATAAAATTAAAATTGTACGATGAAACGAAACGATTACAAAAGACAATATGGTAAATTTTTGAAACAAGAAATTTAGTAGATAAAAATTTTTGAAACAATTGGACTACGAATGTTCATGCATTTATCAAAAGTTTCAAAGCACAAGAGTTAGGCACTCTAGTTAGGTATCATTTTCAGAAGAAAATAATATAATATAATATACTTTCTTGAATTAACAGCTTAATTATCATTTTATATTTACTAGAAAAAATTTATTTATATAATAAATTTATTACTTTTAATAAAATAATTACTTATAATAAAATTTATTACTTTTAATTATTTATTTCTGAAATTATTACTCAGAAATAATAATAAAAATTATTATGAAACCTATGTAAAATTTAAAAAAATATCTCTATGATACTTCCAAATATAGTATAGATTTCTATATAATTTAATTAACTTTCTGAAAGTGATTGCCTTCCTCTCAAAGATAATAGTAATAGAAACAGCTCGACAACGTTCTAAAGTCTATATAAAATTTGAAAACTATTTTAACAATAAATATACTAATCTAACAATCTTGTCCCTTCTCAATAAATAAGCTCTGGATCTGGGAATACCACTGACTGCGAAACCACAGATTCTCGTAAACGTTCTCGCCGCGGTTCTCTTCATATTCTTCGCCGTAGGCGTGGTGGTGGTTATATACATTTTCCATCGTCTGAAACGCGAGAAGATGAAGAAGCTGCTGGCCATAGAAACGGCACGCGCCGCAGTCGTAACTCAATGGACGAAAAAAGTGATCGTGGAGAAGCAGAATTTGGTAAACGCGCAAAACGTCCAAGAACCGTTGCTGATGCCTGTAGTGAAGATCGAGAAGCAAAAGTCGACCGTTGCTGCGGAAGATAGTAACGGCGGAAGCATCTCGGAGTACGAGCTTCCGGTGGACAGTGCTTGGGAATTGCCGAGGGAACATTTGATCTTGGGCAACACCTTGGGCGAAGGTGCGTTTGGAAAAGTTATCAGGGCGCAAACGAATACTGGGAAACCTGGAATCCCTTGTGTCGTGGCTGTGAAGATGTTGAAAGGTATATTGCCATTTAAATGAAATTTCTTTTTACTGTTTTATTGTTCTTCTTTAGTTTCTTTTTTGGTTCTTCTTTATCTTCATATTATGATTTAGGCAGCTTGAAATTTCCTCAATAAATTTTATGAAATTTTTCACTCTTCTTGACATTGTGGTTTTGGTTCCTTAATGCTTTGTGAAATTTTTCTTCACATCGTGTTTTAATTTTAATTATTTTTATTTATTTAAACTCACACTCTGGCTTTGGTAATTCAACGATCTATTAGTTACTTTGTAAAATTTTTCATTTATCTTCACATTATGGTTTTGAAAAGTATTTGAAGTTCCTTTGTAAGATTTTTAATCTTTCTTCACATCGTAACTTTAATAGTTTGAAGTTTCTTCTGATGTATTAAATACTTTGTATTTAATATTTAATAAACTTATTCTTTTATTGAAGTAAAATAATTCTTCAAATAATCCGATCAATAGATTATGAATATAATAACATGCATATAATATACAAAATGATATATAAAATATTAAATATATTTGTTGTACAATATAATATAATGTATTTAAATATAGTAGATGAAACGAATTTAATTATGTCCTGTAGTTATGTTAAGTAAAA